GGGGTGGTAAAACTGCCACCCTGGGGCGTCAGTGGGGAAGCCAAGGAAGACACAGGGAGCAGCACGAGGGGACAGCTTGTCCGCAGACAAGTCGCGGACAAACGCCCGAGATCCCCAGACACGGAACACAGACGCATCGCCAACCTTCCCCGTCCACAGCAAGGCTGGGGACATCGCAGGCCGAGAGACCCGGGGGTGAAGGTTGAGCTGATGCGCCGCGTACCTCACCGCAAACGGCCACAGAAAATGGGGGGCAGCCGCATGCATCATGGACGTACGAGCGACATCCATGACCATGCCAATGCGGCGCTCAGCAATCCCATTTTGCTGTGGTGAGTCCGGAAGCGTGAAGGTCTGGCGAATCCCCCGTGCACGACAGTAGTCCCGCAGAAGGCGAGAAGAGAACTCTCCGCCTCTGTCCGAGTGCAGACGCAGAACAGGAAAGTCCGAGCCGAAGCTCTTCCTGAGCTGGAGACGAGCCTCGCGGATCCAGTCGATCAGCACCTCAGTGACCGCACCCTTGCTGCGCAAGGGGAGGACTGTGGTGTAACGCGAGTAGTCGTCAACCACCAACAGGAAGTAGCGCTCGTGACCCTGCCCACGGACGGGGGCTGGGCCCCACACATCCATGTGAAGCGTCTGCAGGGGAGCCTCTGTCGGGGGGAAGTGGGAGGAGTGAGGAGTAGCCCGGAGGCGACCCTCGACACAGGGGACACAGGAAGGTCCTGGCCCGGAGGGGAGAGGAGGGAGAGACTGGGGAAGACCAGAGACAAGGACACGGGAAGCCATGCTCCGAAGACGGGGCAAGGAGGGGTGGCCAAGACGGTGGTGCCACAGGAGAGTCTCGTGAGACAGGAGGCGACAAGAACAGGGGGCAGACTCAGGACCTGACCGGGACGCAGCAGCAAGCACCTAACCCGACGCAGCCACCTGACCAGACGCAGGGACAGGAGGAGACTCAACGGTCAGGGTGTAGAGACTCGACCCCGGCCGACGCGAGAATGTGGCCAGGTGTCGGCCTGTGCGTGCCTCCGTGCAGTGGGTCACCCGCTGACTCGCAGGAGTGAACTGGTGAACCCCCACATCCTGCAGGTCCGCTCCACTCACCAAGTTCGTAGAGAACGAGGGAAGGTACAGACCAGACAGGGTGCCCGAAGGGGCAGCCGGACACGGGAGGACAGTGGAGAAGTGAGACAGGACAGGACCCCCAGAGGGGTCAGCAAGGGAGACCGCAACCGGCCGGCCGAGCGGCGTAAGGGTAGTGCGGTCTCGAAAGAAGGAGCGAGAAGCCCCGGAGTCAAGTGTGAAAGTGAGGGAGGACGAGGACGACGCAGTACCTGAGAGCGCAGTCTCACCAGTACCTGAGAGCACAGACGCACTGGCACCTAGATCAGCAGCCTCACAAGCACCTAGCGCAGCAGTACCAATGCCCGGGTCGGGCTGGAAACACCGGTAACCCTCATTCTCCTCACTATAATCCACAGCATACATAGCAGCAAGGATAGCATCAAAATCAAGATCAAAGATCGCTACACCAGCCCTTAGAAGCTCATCCCAGCGAGGGATCTCACTAGCCCCAGGGAACTGCTGACGCCAAGCGTCCGTCAGGCGGCCAAAGCAGCGCTGGGTGGCGTGGGCACCCCCACACTGCTCACCCGCGCGGTCGCCGGAACGAAGAACGTAGGTGCAGGGACCAGTACCCCCACCCCTCTGACGCCCAGCGTACCACTCACGAAGCTGCTGAGGCGGAGGGATGTCCCGCGAGCGCTGCTGCTGCTGCCGCTGCGAGCGCTGGCCACCACCACCGCCGCTACGCTGCTGGGTACCACCCCGACCAGCTCCACCTCCTCCACCACCACCGCCTCCTCCGCTGCCGCCTCCACCGCCTCCACCTCCGCCGCCTCCACCTCCGCCGCTGCCTCCACCACCACCGCTGGCACCACCACCACCGTCTCCGCCGCTGCTGCCACCACCACCACCACCCCCGCCACTAGTCCCGCCGCCACCCCCACTCCCTCCGCCGCCACCGCCGCCACCGCCACCGCCCCCTCCAGCTCCACCCGCGCCCTTGCCCCCCTTGCCCTTGCTGGAGCGACGTCTCCCACTAGGGGTAGACGCCGCGCCGACCGACTCAAGACCAAGCAGGTCGGCAGCAGCAGCAGAGGCAACAGAGGGCAGCAAGGGGGAAGGAGAGCACCCCTCAAAGATGGAGGTGCGAGGGTCACCACGAGAAGCACCTACAGCGACTATGCTCTTCTCCGCTACGAGGAGGGCCTTCTCGAGGAGGTCGACGGTGAGGGTGGTGGGACAGACTGCGAGAAAGTGGTCCCTGACGACGCGAAGGGAGTCAGGGAGGCGCGCGACTACGTAGTAGAGAGCGATGTACATGGGGGGTGGGTTCTTAGCGCAGAATTCAGCAGGAAGGGCGGCGCGATAGCGAGTGTCACTAGTGCGGAGGTGCGTAATGAGGTCAGCAACAGTGGGAAAGGCAGAGAGGTCAGGAAAGAGGTAGGGAAGCATGAGACGGCTCAGTGCAGCAGTGGCAGGGGAGGAGTAGCGCGCAACTACAGCGTCGTACAAGGTCTGAGCACTCTTGTACTGACTAAAGTGCGCACGCTCAGAGGTAGGGAGGTGGCGACGCACAGCAAGACGTGCAGCAGCATCGCGGGTGGCCCACTGAGAGCGGACAGTGGGATCAGCATCAGCAGCAGGAGCAGGAGAGGCGCCAGAGGTGAGGTCAAAGAGAGAAAGGTCGTCAGCCCTGTCGCACTGTAAGAACAGCTGCAGGTCGTCTAACCAGACCTCAAAATCAATGGCGCGACCCTCAGCGTCAAAAGCTAGGACACTAGGGGTAGCCATGGCGACGACAGCGACGCAGTGCAAGCAGTAGGGAAAGAGCTCGCAGTGTCAGTGGGACTGTGCTCACCAGGCAGGGCAGGTCGTGCAGCTCTGCAGAAAGGCGGCTCAGCGACCGGGCGGCTCGGGTGCACAGCGGCTCGGCTCCCGGGCGGCTCGGCGGCTGGGCGGCTCGGGCGCAGGGCGGCTCGGCTCCCGGGCGGCTCGGCGGCAGGGCGGCTCGGGTGCAGGGCGGCTCGGCTCCCGGGCGGCTCGGTGGCAGGGCGGCTCGGGTCCCGGGCGGCTCGGCGTTGGGCGGCTCGGCTCCCGGGCGGTTCGGCTGCTGGGGCGGCTCGGCCGGGAGATGCAGGGGCGGGGCCGTCAGGTGCAGCGGCGGGTCGACCGGTGCAGTGGCGGGCCGGCAGGTGCAGCGGCGGGGCCGTAGGGTGCAGCGGCGGGCCGACCAGGTGAGGCGGCGGGCCGTAGGGTGCAGCGGCGGGCCGTAGGGTGCAGCGGCGGGCCGGCAGGTGCAGCGGCGGGGCCGTCAGGTGAAGCGGCGGGCCGCTGGGTGCAGCGGCGGGCCGGCAGGTGCAGCGGCGGGCCGGCAGGTGCAGCGGCGGGGCCGTCAGGTGAGGCGGCGGGCCGTAGGGTGCAGCGGCGGGCCGTAGGGTGCAGCGGCGGGCCGGCAGGGCCGCGTCAGAGCCGGCGGCGGGGCCGCGTCAGTGGAGGCGGCGGGGCCGCGTCAAGCAGGCGGCGGGGCCGCGACGAAGCGGGCGGCAGGGCCGCGTCAGAGGAGGCGGCGGGGCCGCGTCAAGCAGGCGGCGGGGCCGCGACGAAGCGGGCGGCAGGGCCGCGTCAGAGCCGGCGGCGGGGCCGCGTCAGTGGAGGCGGCGGGGCCGCGTCAAGCAGGCGGCGGGGCCGCGATCAGTAGGGGTGGCGGGGCCGCGTCTGAGGGACAGCGGGGCCGCGAGGGAAATGGCGACCCGAGGGGTCGCGAAAAAAAAAGGCGCGCCTCGGGGCGCGCTTCGGTGGGCCCTAAAAAAACGGTCCTAAGGAAGGACCCGCTCTATACCATGTGAAACAAGTGAACAGGAATGAAATGACTAAGTCAGAGTTGGGTACAAATACAACCCTAGAAAGCTGTACCCCATATGTGCTACCCCACTATAGCCTACAAACATGCATCAGCTATAATAATCTGACAGTCTTTAATAAGCATACCCCCCCGCTCCCCCTCTCCCCCTCTCCCCCACCACCCACCCCCCCATATGAGTCCCGTGGGACTCTCTTATTGGAGGGTTCTATATACGGGAGAATACAGTAGATGAAATACACTTTAGGAGGCAACAACCCTGAATACCAGGAGCAAGGTGTTTACCGTTGATGCCCCCAGATGCCATAGTACCATCCTAATAAGGTTTATTTGTTTGCTAGTCGCCAACGCTAACCACGAACGCACGCGGAAGGGCAATATAAATCTCAAAGTGCTTAAGATAATCAAAGTAGCCGAAAGTGTTCGTACGGTATTTGTTGGGGAAACTCGTTTTCAAGCCTAGCATGTTTCGTCCAGCCCTTTTTCGGACAAAACATGTTCCAGAGTTGTCATACTCGTTTTCAAGCCTAAGCATCTTTCGTCCAGCCCTTTTCACCTATGCCCTGCCGAGTCGCAGCAACCGCATGTAGATCCACGCCTTCATCAGAAACGCGAGCTCCAGTTTCTCAGTTTTATCACGCGATAGTTGGAATGCGTTAGTTATGTAGAATCGAAACCACGATGCTTGACTGCATTCTAGACTGCTCTCCCACGTCGCTACCTAAACACCAGAGCAACAAGCGGCGGACTCATCCACCACAACCCCAAGCCAGCGCCTTACTAAGGAAAGCAAGGCGGTGACGCGAGCACATCCCTCGTGACGTGACCCGTCAGCTCTCACCTCCCGAAGTGCACAGAGTGAGTTTCGCGCGTCGAGTACGTTCCTCTCGCGCCATGATCGTCAAAGTAGCCGAAACCGCGTCAGCCCCGCGCTACGATATCGTGTGGCGTACTTATCGTTGAAATCATTGCGCCTTTAAATATGCCGAAACCACTACTAGTATGATCGTGTGGACGATTTCTGAATCTGACTTCGCCTTTCGCCATGGCTCCCACCGTCGCAGGCGCGAATATGACTCCCTCGCCAGTCGCCGTGCGACCACCAGTCGCATCCGCCAGCCTACTCTCTCCATCCCTCAATTCCCCCGTATGCGCCACGTCAGCCAGAGCCACGTCAGTGAACGTGTGTGCAGCGAGCGCGTCGGCAATCCCCAGGCCGCTAGAGCGGCTCGAGGTGGCTGGCAGCCCGTTCGAGCGCGGCTGTGCGATCGGCGCGCATTTCGGCGACAAGATTCGCGATCGCGTCGCCAAGGCGCCGTTTCTGCACGACGACATGATTCCGTTCGCACGCACGGGCGATGGGGCTGCGCTGCTGAATGCGTTTGCCGAGTCCAACAGGTGACTGCTGCATTCCGAGCCAATGCTTCTGAGCAAGATGCCGTGCAGTCATGTGTGGTCGTGATGCCACTCGTAACGAGCCAGCCACAACGATTTCGTCTCAACCGACACGTCCAATTGGAACTTGGTTTCCACCCGCTTGTCCCTCACGCCACACCGTCGTGCGTCCTCACGTTCGTTTCCGTCCTCTGTGCTGCCCATGCCTCGTCCTCGGTGCTGCCCATGCCTCGTCCCATGCACGCTCATCATGCTGTTGCTCTTCCAATTCTCCACTCGACTCCAAAGCCCCCCCTCCCGTCCTTTCCCTCTGCATACCCCTTAGCTCCGCAAACGCTACCAGTGCCATGCTGTGATGCCGTGCCCACGCCAGTGCTGCAGGGTTCAATCATGCCCGCACAGGAGTACCTCACCATCACTCGCGTCCCGCCTCTCCTCCCCGTTCCACTCACGTCCACAGTACCCCGCCCCACTGACCGCCGACTTTCCAGTTGACTCAAACTTAACCCCGCCCGTTCTCCCCCTCCCCTCCCCCCCTCCCACCCCCCCGGCCATGGCAGGGCGCAGTACCCGGAGTACTGGGAGGAGCTGCGCGGCATGGCGGCGGGCAGCACCGTGCCCTTTCACCAGGTGGGCCCATCAACTGCCCTTTCACCAGGTGGGCCCATCAACTGCCCCGCACCACAGCTGACCTGGATCGCCGGCCATGCGTGGCGTGTGTTCCTCTCTCTGTTCTTCAACGGAAACTGCTCCTGTTCCCACCCCTGGCCATCCCCCTGCACATGCCGCTCTCTTCCTCTCCTCTCGTCTGTACCCTAAATTCTCACCCATAGCACACACCAACCCTATCGCATTCCTCCCGGCCCTGCTGTACCTGTCACCCACTCCGTCCACGTCAGCTGCTGCTTCTGAATCTCCGCAAGGAGTTCGGTGCCTTCTTGCCCTCCCTCAACGCGCCTGCCACGTCAGCAGTGCTGCCAGAGTCTGCCACGTTGGACAGGCGGACGCAGTATGGCATAGCATCTGACGACTGCACTGACGTGCTGCTGCTCACTGATGACGTGGCAGCAGTGGGACACAACGAGGATGCCGATTACTCAATTGTGGATAACTCGTGAGTTGTCATGTCATGCCATGCCCACATGTGCAGGGTTCCACATGCCCATGCACATGCACATGCACATGCCCATGCACATGCACATGCACATGCACATGCACATGCCCATGCCCATGCTTTGCCATCGCTATGCCATTCCACGGCATGTCACGCCCTGCTATTCCATGCACTGCCATTCCATGTCATTCCCCTATGCTCACAACATCCTCTCTTTCTTTCCTCCCCTGCACCCCGTCTCATGTCCTCTCAGTTTCTTCATCCGCATGCACACGGGCAGCGGGGTGGCAGTCATGGCGTACACCTATGTGGGCGAGCTGCCCTCCGTCGCCTTTGCGTTCAACGAGGCTGACATGGTCAGACATCAAACTGCCTGCCTGCCTCCCTTGCACGCCTGCGCAGCTCTGGTGCTCACGATGCCTGGGTTTGGGACATCTCAGAACTTTTCCCGATGCTATGCGCCTCCAGCAATGCCCTCATAAGAAGAGCAATGCCCTCATAAGAAGAGCAACGCCCTCATAAGAAGAGCAACGCCCTCATAAGAAGAGCAACGCCCTCATAAGAAGAGCAACGCCCTCATAAGAAGAGCAATGCCCTCATAAGAAGAGCAACGCCAGTGCTTCAAACCCCTGCCAGCCAGCCCGCCCGCCTGCCTGCGTGCCTGTGGGTGTCAAGGGGTGAACTGAGGCACACAGGGCGGAACTGTGTTGCTGCCAGCCTCTGTTACTCGCATCATCCGTTCTTGCGCCTGTGCTCTCCATCCTCTCTTCCCCTTGCCTCTCCTGTGCTCTCCATCCTCTCTTCCCCTTGCCTCTCCTGTGCTCTCCATCCTCTCTTCCCCTTGCCTCTCCTGTGCTCTCCATCCTCTCTTCCCCTTGCCTCTCCTGTGCTCTCCATCCTCTCTTCCCCTTGCCTCTCCTGTGCTCTCCATCCTCTCTTCCCCTTGCCTCTCCTGTGCTCTCCATCCTCTCTTCCCCTTGCCTCTCCTGTGCTCTCCATCCTCTCTTCCCCTTGCCTCTCCTGTGCTCTCCATCCTCTCTTCCCCTTGCCTCTCCTGTGCTCTCCATCCTCTTTTCCCCTTGCCTCTCCTGTGCTCTCCATCCTCTCTTCCCCTTGCCTCTCCTGTGCTCTCCATCCTCTTTTCCCCTTGCCTCTCCTGTGCTCTCCATCCTCTCTTCCCCTTGCCTCTCCTGTGCTCTCCATCCTCTCTTCCCCTTGCCTCTCCTGTGCTCTCCATCCTCTCTTCCCCTTGCCTCTCCTGTGCTCTCCATCCTCTCTTCCCCTTGCCTCTCCTGTGCTCTCCATCCTCTTTTCCCCTTGCCTCTCCTGTGCTCTCCATCCTCTCTTCCCCTTGCCTCTCCTGTGCTCTCCATCCTCTTTTCCCCTTGCCTCTCCTGTGCTCTCCATCCTCTCTTCCCCTTGCCTCTCCTGTGCTCTCCATCCTCTCTTCCCCTTGCCTCTCCTGTGCTCTCCATCCTCTCTTCCCCTTGCCTCTCCTGTGCTCTCCATCCTCTCTTCCCCTTGCCTCTCCTGTGCTCTCCATCCTCTCTTCCCCTTGCCTCTCCTGTGCTCTCCATCCTCTTTTCCCCTTGCCTCTCCTGTGCTCTCCATCCTCTCTTCCCCTTGCCTCTCCTGTGCTCTCCATCATCTTTTCCCCTTGCCTCTCCTGTGCTCTCCATCCTCTCTTCCCCTTGCCTCTCCTGTGCTCTCCATCCTCTCTTCCCCTTGCCTCTCCTGTGCTCTCCATCCTCTCTTCCCCTTGCCTCTCCTGTGCTCTCCATCCTCTCTTCCCCTTGCCTCTCCTGTGCTCTCCATCCTCTTTTCCCCTTGCCTCTCCTGTGCTCTCCATCCTCTCTTCCCCTTGCCTCTCCTGTGCTCTCCATCCTCTTTTCCCCTTGCCTCTCCTGTGCTCTCCATCCTCTCTTCCCCTTGCCTCTCCTGTGCTCTCCATCCTCTCTTCCCCTTGCCTCTCCTGTGCTCTCCATCCTCTCTTCCCCTTGCCTCTCCTGTGCTCTCCATCCTCTCTTCCCCTTGCCTCTCCTGTGCTCTCCATCCTCCCCTTGCCTCTCCTGTGCTCTCCATCCTCTCTTCCCCTTGCCTCTCCTGTGCTCTCCATCCTCTCTTCCCCTTGCCTCTCCTGTGCTCTCCATCCTCTTTTCCCCTTGCCTCTCCTGTGCTCTCCATCCTCTCTTCCCCTTGCCTCTCCTGTGCTCTCCATCCTCTTTTCCCCTTGCCTCTCCTGTGCTCTCCATCCTCTCTTCCCCTTGCCTCTCCTGTGCTCTCCATCCTCTCTTCCCCTTGCCTCTCCTGTGCTCTCCATCCTCTCTTCCCCTTGCCTCTCCTGTGCTCTCCATCCTCTTTTCCCCTTGCCTCTCCTGTGCTCTCCATCCTCTCTTCCCCTTGCCTCTCCTGTGCTCTCCATCCTCTTTTCCCCTTGCCTCTCCTGTGCTCTCCATCCTCTCTTCCCCTTGCCTCTCCTGTGCTCTCCATCCTCTCTTCCCCTTGCCTCTCCTGTGCTCTCCATCCTCTCTTCCCCTTGCCTCTCCTGTGCTCTCCATCCTCTCTTCCCCTTGCCTCTCCTGTGCTCTCCATCCTCTCTTCCCCTTGCCTCTCCTGTGCTCTCCATCCTCTTTTCCCCTTGCCTCTCCTGTGCTCTCCATCCTCTCTTCCCCTTGCCTCTCCTGTGCTCTCCATCCTCTTTTCCCCTTGCCTCTCCTGTGCTCTCCATCCTCTCTTCCCCTTGCCTCTCCTGTGCTCTCCATCCTCTTTTCCCCTTGCCTCTCCTGTGCTCTCCATCCTCTCTTCCCCTTGCCTCTCCTGTGCTCTCCATCCTCTTTTCCCCTTGCCTCTCCTGTGCTCTCCATCCTCTCTTCCCCTTGCCTCTCCTGTGCTCTCCATCCTCTCTTCCCCTTGCCTCTCCTGTGCTCTCCATCCTCTCTTCCCCTTGCCTCTCCTGTGCTCTCCATCCTCTCTTCCCCTTGCCTCTCCTGTGCTCTCCATCCTCTCTTCCCCTTGCCTCTCCTGTGCTCTCCATCCTCTCTTCCCCTTGCCTCTCCTGTGCTCTCCATCCTCTCTTCCCCTTGCCTCTCCTGTGCTCTCCATCCTCTCTTCCCCTTGCCTCTCCTGTGCTCTCCATCCTCTTTTCCCCTTGCCTCTCCTGTGCTCTCCATCCTCTCTTCCCCTTGCCTCTCCTGTGCTCTCCATCCTCTTTTCCCCTTGCCTCTCCTGTGCTCTCCATCCTCTCTTCCCCTTGCCTCTCCTGTGCTCTCCATCCTCTCTTCCCCTTGCCTCTCCTGTGCTCTCCATCCTCTCTTCCCCTTGCCTCTCCTGTGCTCTCCATCCTCTTTTCCCCTTGCCTCTCCTGTGCTCTCCATCCTCTCTTCCCCTTGCCTCTCCTGTGCTCTCCATCCTCTTTTCCCCTTGCCTCTCCTGTGCTCTCCATCCTCTCTTCCCCTTGCCTCTCCTGTGCTCTCCATCCTCTCTTCCCCTTGCCTCTCCTGTGCTCTCCATCCTCTCTTCCCCTTGCCTCTCCTGTGCTCTCCATCCTCTCTTCCCCTTGCCTCTCCTGTGCTCTCCATCCTCTTTTCCCCTTGCCTCTCCTGTGCTCTCCATCCTCTCTTCCCCTTGCCTCTCCTGTGCTCTCCATCCTCTTTTCCCCTTGCCTCTCCTGTGCTCTCCATCCTCTCTTCCCCTTGCCTCTCCTGTGCTCTCCATCCTCTCTTCCCCTTGCCTCTCCTGTGCTCTCCATCCTCTTTTCCCCTTGCCTCTCCTGTGCTCTCCATCATCTCTTCCCCTTGCCTCTCCTGTGCTCTCCATCCTCTCTTCCCCTTGCCTCTCCTGTGCTCTCCATCCTCTCTTCCCCTTGCCTCTCCTGTGCTCTCCATCCTCTCTTCCCCTTGCCTCTCCTGTGCTCTCCATCCTCTTTTCCCCTTGCCTCTCCTGTGCTCTCCATCCTCTCTTCCCCTTGCCTCTCCTGTGCTCTCCATCCTCTTTTCCCCTTGCCTCTCCTGTGCTCTCCATCCTCTCTTCCCCTTGCCTCTCCTGTGCTCTCCATCCTCTTTTCCCCTTGCCTCTCCTGTGCTCTCCATCCTCTCTTCCCCTTGCCTCTCCTGTGCTCTCCATCCTCTTTTCCCCTTGCCTCTCCTGTGCTCTCCATCCTCTCTTCCCCTCGCCTCTCCTGTGCTCTCCATCCTCTCTTCCCCTTGCCTCTCCTGTGCTCTCCATCCTCTCTTCCCCTTGCCTCTCCTGTGCTCTCCATCCTCTCTTCCCCTTGCCTCTCCTGTGCTCTCCATCCTCTCTTCCCCTTGCCTCTCCTGTGCTCTCCATCCTCTCTTCCCCTTGCCTCTCCTGTGCTCTCCATCCTCTTTTCCCCTTGCCTCTCCTGTGCTCTCCATCCTCTCTTCCCCTTGCCTCTCCTGTGCTCTCCATCCTCTCTTCCCCTTGCCTCTCCTGTGCTCTCCATCCTCTCTTCCCCTTGCCTCTCCTGTGCTCTCCATCCTCTCTTCCCCTTGCCTCTCCTGTGCTCTCCATCCTCTCTTCCCCTTGCCTCTCCTGTGCTCTCCATCCTCTTTTCCCCTTGCCTCTCCTGTGCGCTCCATCCTCTCTTCCCCTTGCCTCTCCTGTGCTCTCCATCCTCTTTTCCCCTTGCCTCTCCTGTGCTCTCCATCCTCTCTTCCCCTTGCCTCTCCTGTGCTCTCCATCCTCTTTTCCCCTTGCCTCTCCTGTGCTCTCCATCCTCTCTTCCCCTTGCCTCTCCTGTGCTCTCCATCCTCTTTTCCCCTTGCCTCTCCTGTGCTCTCCATCCTCTCTTCCCCTTGCCTCTCCTGTGCTCTCCATCCTCTCTTCCCCTTGCCTCTCCTGTGCTCTCCATCCTCTCTTCCCCTTGCCTCTCCTGTGCTCTCCATCCTCTCTTCCCCTTGCCTCTCCTGTGCTCTCCATCCTCTCTTCCCCTTGCCTCTCCTGTGCTCTCCATCCTCTCTTCCCCTTGCCTCTCCTGTGCTCTCCATCCTCTTTTCCCCTTGCCTCTCCTGTGCTCTCCATCCTCTCTTTCCCTTGCCTCTCCTGTGCTCTCCATCCTCTTTTCCCCTTGCCTCTCCTGTGCTCTCCATCCTCTCTTCCCCTTGCCTCTCCTGTGCTCTCCATCCTCTCTTCCCCTTGCCTCTCCTGTGCTCTCCATCCTCTCTTCCCCTTGCCTCTCCTGTGCTCTCCATCCTCTCTTCCCCTTGCCTCTCCTGTGCTCTCCATCCTCTTTTCCCCTTGCCTCTCCTGTGCTCTCCATCCTCTCTTCCCCTTGCCTCTCCTGTGCTCTCCATCCTCTCTTCCCCTTGCCTCTCCTGTGCTCTCCATCCTCTTTTCCCCTTGCCTCTCCTGTGCTCTCCATCCTCTCTTCCCCTTGCCTCTCCTGTGCTCTCCATCCTCTCTTCCCCTTGCCTCTCCTGTGCTCTCCATCCTCTCTTCCCCTTGCCTCTCCTGTGCTCTCCATCCTCTCTTCCCCTTGCCTCTCCTGTGCTCTCCATCCTCTCTTCCCCTTGCCTCTCCTGTGCTCTCCATCCTCTCTTCCCCTTGCCTCTCCTGTGCTCTCCATCCTCTCTTCCCCTTGCCTCTCCTGTGCTCTCCATCCTCTTTTCCCCTTGCCTCTCCTGTGCTCTCCATCCTCTCTTCCCCTTGCCTCTCCTGTGCTCTCCATCCTCTCTTCCCCTTGCCTCTCCTGTGCTCTCCATCCTCTTTTCCCCTTGCCTCTCCTGTGCTCTCCATCCTCTCTTCCCCTTGGCTCTCCTGTGCTCTCCATCCTCTCTTCCCCTTGCCTCTCCTGTGCTCTCCATCCTCTCTTCCCCTTGCCTCTCCTGTGCTCTCCATCCTCTCTTCACCTTGCCTCTCCTGTGCTCTCCATCCTCTCTTCCCCTTGCCTCTCCTGTGCTCTCCATCCTCTTTTCCCCTTGCCTCTTCTGTGCTCTCCATCCTCTCTTCCCCTTGCCTCTCCTGTGCTCTCCATCCTCTCTTCCCCTTGCCTCTCCTGTGCTCTCCATCCTCTCTTCCCCTTGCCTCTCCTGTGCTCTCCATCCTCTTTTCCCCTTGCCTCTCCTGTGCTCTCCATCCTCTTTTCCCCTTGCCTCTCCTGTGCTCTCCATCCTCTCTTCCCCTTGCCTCTCCTGTGCTCTCCATCCTCTCTTCCCCTTGCCTCTCCTGTGCTCTCCATCCTCTCTTCCCCTTGCCTCTCCTGTGCTCTCCATCCTCTCTTCCCCTTGCCTCTCCTGTGCTCTCCATCCTCTCTTCCCCTTGCCTCTCCTGTGCTCTCCATCCTCTCTTCCCCTTGCCTCTCTTGTGCTCTCCATCCTCTCTTCCCCTTGCCTCTCCTGTGCTCTCCATCCTCTCTTCCCCTTGCCTCTCCTGTGCTCTCCATCCTCTTTTCCCCTTGCCTCTCCTGTGCTCTCCATCCTCTCTTCCCCTTGCCTCTCCTGTGCTCTCCATCCTCTCTTCCCCTTGCCTCTCCTGTGCTCTCCATCCTCTCTTCCCCTTGCCTCTCCTGTGCTCTCCATCCTCTTTTCCCCTTGCCTCTCCTGTGCTCTCCATCCTCTTTTCCCCTTGCCTCTCCTGTGCTCTCCATCCTCTCTTCCCCTTGCCTCTCCTGTGCTCTCCATCCTCTCTTCCCCTTGCCTCTCCTGTGCTCTCCATCCTCTCTTCCCCTTGCCTCTCCTGTGCTCTCCATCCTCTCTTCCCCTTGCCTCTCCTGTGCTCTCCATCCTCTCTTCCCCTTGCCTCTCCTGTGCTCTCCATCCTTTCTTCCCCTTGCCTCTCCTGTGCTCTCCATCCTCTCTTCCCCTTGCCTCTCCTGTGCTCTCCATCCTCTCTTCCCCTTGCCTCTCCTGTGCTCTCCATCCTCTCTTCCCCTTGCCTCTCCTGTGCTCTCCATCCTCTCTTCCCCTTGCCTCTCCTGTGCTCTCCATCCTCTTTTCCCCTTGCCTCTCCTGTGCTCTCCATCCTCTCTTCCCCTTGCCTCTCCTGTGCTTTCCATCCTCTTTTCCCCTTGCCTCTCCTGTGCTCTCCATCCTCTCTTCCCCTTGCCTCTCCTGTGCTCTCCATCCTCTCTTCCCCTTGCCTCTCCTGTGCTCTCCATCCTCTTTTCCCCTTGCCTCTCCTGTGCTCTCCATCCTCTCTTCCCCTTGCCTCTCCTGTGCTCTCCATCCTCTTTTCCCCTTGCCTCTCCTGTGCTCTCCATCCTCTCTTCCCCTTGCCTCTCCTGTGCTCTCCATCCTCTCTTCCCCTTGCCTCTCCTGTGCTCTCCATCCTCTTTTCCCCTTGCCTCTCCTGTGCTCTCCATCCTCTCTTCCCCTTGCCTCTCCTGTGCTCTCCATCCTCTTTTCCCCTTGCCTCTCCTGTGCTCTCCATCCTCTCTTCCCCTTGCCTCTCCTGTGCTCTCCATCCTCTCTTCCCCTTGCCTCTCCTGTGCTCTCCATCCTCTCTTCCCCTTGCCTCTCCTGTGCTCTCCATCCTCTCTTCCCCTTGCCTCTCCTGTGCTCTCCATCCTCTTTTCCCCTTGCCTCTCCTGTGCTCTCCATCCTCTCTTCCCCTTGCCTCTCCTGTGCTCTCCATCCTCTCTTCCCCTTGCCTCTCCTGTGCTCTCCATCCTCTCTTCCCCTCGCCTCTCCTGTGCTCTCCATCCTCTTTTCCCCTTGCCTCTCCTGTGCTCTCCATCCTCTCTTCCCCTTGCCTCTCCTGTGCTCTCCATCCTCTCTTCCCCTTGCCTCTCCTGTGCTCTCCATCCTCTTTTCCCCTTGCCTCTCCTGTGCTCTCCATCCTCTCTTTCCCTTGCCTCTCCTGTGCTCTCCATCCTCTCTTCCCCTTGCCTCTCCTGTGCTCTCCATCCTCTCTTCCCCTTGCCTCTCCTGTGCTCTCCATCCTCTTTTCCCCTTGCCTCTCCTGTGCTCTCCATCCTCTCTTCCCCTTGCCTCTCCTGTGCTCTCCATCCTCTATTCCCCTTGCCTCTCCTGTGCTCTCCATCCTCTCTTCCCCTTGCCTCTCCTGTGCTCTCCATCCTCTCTTCCCCTTGCCTCTCCTGTGCTCTCCATCCTCTTTTCCCCTTGCCTCTCCTGTGCTCTCCATCCTCTCTTCCCCTTGCCTCTCCTGTGCTCTCCATCCTCTCTTCCCCTTGCCTCTCCTGTGCTCTCCATCCTCTCTTCCCCTTGCCTCTCCTGTGCTCTCCATCCTCTCTTCCCCTTGCCTCTCCTGTGCTCTCCATCCTCTCTTCCCCTTGCCTCTCCTGTGCTCTCCATCCTCTCTTCCCCTTGCCTCTCCTGTGCTCTCCATCCTCTTTTCCCCTTGCCTCTCCTGTGCTCTCCATCCTCTTTTCCCCTTGCCTCTCCTGTGCTCTCCATCCTCTCTTCCCCTTGCCTCTCCTGTGCTCTCCATCCTCTTTTCCCCTTGCCTCTCCTGTGCTCTCCATCCTCTTTTCCCCTTGCCTCTTCTGTGCTCTCCATCCTCTCTTCCCCTTGCCTCTCCTGTGCTCTCCATCCTCTCTTCCCCTTGCCTCTCCTGTGCTCTCCATCCTCTCTTCCCCTTGCCTCTCCTGTGCTCTCCATCCTCTTTTCCCCTTGCCTCTCCTGTGCTCTCCATCCTCTTTTCCCCTTGCCTCTCCTGTGCTCTCCATCCTCTCTTCCCCTTGCCTCTCCTGTGCTCTCCATCCTCTCTTCCCCTTGCCTCTCCTGTGCTCTCCATCCTCTCTTCCCCTTGCCTCTCCTGTGCTCTCCATCCTCTTTTCCCCTTGCCTCTCCTGTGCTCTCCATCCTCTCTTCCCCTTGGCTCTCCTGTGCTCTCCATCCTCTATTCCCCTTGCCTCTCCTGTGCTCTCCATTGTCACCGAATATGTACGTTTGTGCATATAAGGTGCCAGTATGATTGTGGTGTAGAAAGGGTGTAGTAATGTGTTGTATTTGTTGTATGCAGGCTCAAGGATGGGTAGGTGGGAGGCTGGGAAATTGACGCGAAGTTGGTAGGAGAACACCAGGGGGTGAAATCCTCGCGACCAATGGGAACAAACCCAACCCAGGCTCAAGCCGCACATTGAGAAATGCACGGCTCGAGCCAGGGACAGGTAAGTTCACTCTCACACACACACACAATGCTTTCTGTTTGTTATCCTTTCGTATAGTGGACAGTTGTTACCTCAGATTTGCCTACAGGTGGCACACCACTCAGAGAGGACCTTTGAGGTGAGAGTTACCACTCTTGCATAACAAACAGAAAGGTGCGCGTGCAAGCATGGATGTGCACGAGTTGCGTTATGGCAGGAAGTACGATCGTCGTGAGGGTGATCGCTCGCGGCGGGAGCGCTCACGAGAGCGCGGGCGTTCGCTAGAGAGGTCGCCGCGGAGGCCTGACCGCTCGCCGCGGAGTCCTGAGCGCTCGCCGCGGAGGCCGGCTTTTCGCGCCGATCTGGTCCCTCTCGCGCCAGATCGCCGTGAAGAAGGTGCAGAGCGCGAAGGAAGAGGCGGATCCGAGTCCGTCAGGATGGGAAGTGACCCGTGGCGGACGGATACGCACCACGGGGCTGGTGGCGAATGCGGACATCGCCACGACACGGGAGCGTATCGCTCGCCGGACGAAGGTTACCGCCGTCGCGAAGATCGCAGTCGCGGGCGTGGCCTGGAGGAGCTATTCTCTGGTCGGCAAGGAGATCTCGATGTGGATGGGGAGGGCGAGGTCGATATGGCGGAGAAGCCGCAGGAAATGGATCTCGAGAGTGAAGCGAAGGGCGATGACGAGGCCCATGAGGAAGGCGCGGGCGAGCAGCGCGATATGCACGCCGAAGTCAAGGAAGCCAGTCCGATGCTGGCGAGCGAGGAGGCTGCGCCAGGCGCGGCAGAAATAGGCGGGAAGGATGGTGCGCGGAACCAGACGCGTGGTGAAGAAGGCAACGACGACAGGAGGCGTAGCCGTGGATCGCGCTCGCCGACCCCCCATCAGCACCACGACCAGAATCATGGTGGCGAGAGGCATGCGTCAGATCCGCGGCTGCAGCAAGACAAGAGGCGCGACGGCGGGCATCGCTCGCCAGATCCGCGGCTGCAGCGTGACGAGAGGCGCGGCGGCGACCATCGCTCGCCAGATCCGCGGCGGCAGCGTGACGAGAGGCGTGGCGGCGACCATCGCTCGCCAGATCCGCGGCTGCAGCGTGACGAGAGGCGCGGCGGCGACCATCGCTCGCCAGATCCGCGGCTGCGGCGTGACGAGAGGCGCGGCGGCGGCTACCGCTCGCCAGATCCGCGGCGGCAGCGCGAGGACAGACGTGACGGCGGCAACCGCTCGCCAGATTCGCGGCAGCAGCGTGAGGACAGGCGCGACGGCGGCTACCGCTCGACTGATGTGCGGCAGTGGCACGACGAAATGCGCGGAAGTGGTCACCACTTGCCAGATCCACGGCAGCGTCGTGGGGAGGAGCGCGGAGACAGCACGCGTTCACCAGATCCGCGGAGGTATCACGGCGGGAGGAGCGAGAGGGGCTCACGCTCACCAGATCTGCAGCGCTATCATGATGGGAGGAGCAGAGATGTCCAGCGCTCGCCTGACGCGCAACGGTATCCTGGAGGAGGGTGGAGAGGCGAGGCGCGCTCGCCGGATTGGCGGCAGCAGCTTGAGGAGAGTCACGGGGGCAGACATCGCTCGCCACCGCGGCAGCGGAGCAGGGATATAAGGCAAAGCGGTGGGGCACGTTCGCCAGAGCGTTATCGGCAACATGACGAGAGGCGTGCCGGCGAAGGAGGACAAGATCTGCGCAGCAGCAGAGTGGGAGGCAGCGGGCTGATGGACAGCCTGGAGCGAGCCAGAGAGGCGAGGGAGGGAATACGGCGGGCGGGAGAGAGGGGAACGGCAGGCAGGACAGCAGAGAGATATAGTGAGGCGTGGGGAGAAGGAAAGGGAAGTACAGCCATGGTCACAAGGGTGGAAGTACCAGCACGCTTCTCTGGGGACCAGCGATTGGGGCCCACACTGAAGAATTATCTCATGCAAGTGGGCAACGTGCGGTACAGATGCGAGAGGGGCGGCATGGATGCAGTGGACTTCTTTCTGAGCCTGCCAAACACACTGGAGGGGGAGGCAGAAACGTTATACAGGATGAAGATGAATGAGCTACTGGAGAGGGCAGGAAGGTATGGGGAGGACCCAACCGAAGAATTTCTGAGGCGGCTGAAGCGGCAGTTCCCAGGCCACACTGCAGAGAAGATCAGAGAGTTTCAAGACTTTAGGAAGGGGCGGGGAGAGTCACTACTCACCTACTACAATCGGCTGGTCAACATAGCGGAGGACGTGAGCTGTGCGGACATGGGCCTGCTTGTGAGCAAGTTCCTGGACGGCCTGGAGGGTACCTTGGGAAGCGGGCTGAGGCTGAAAGTATATGAGATGGGGGCTGAAGTGACACTTGATGAAGTGTTTGAGCTAGCTGAGAAGATGGAGATGGCCCAGAGGAAGCTTGAAGCCTACCGGCAACGACCAGCGGAGCGTGGCAGAGGACCTACATGGGCAGCAGCCATGATACCAGAGGAAAAGGAAAGGGCAGGGGGAAGAGGGGATAGCAGGACTGACGCACGAACGTGCCACCGATGCGGGCAGCCAGGGCACCTGCGCAGAGACTGCAAGAACTGCGACTCCTGTGGTAAGCCAGGGCACCGGCGGCGGGAATGCCCAACAGCTCCGAAGTGCGAAATCTGTGGGAAGGGAGGGCATGCAGCAAGGGAGTGTTATCAGCGGGAAGGAGCGGCGAAGAGGACACCAGAGGACCTGGAAAAGCAGATTGGCAGGCTGCAGGCTCAGCTGCAGGCAATGGGACCACGACGCGAGGCAGAAGCGGGGATGTACGCGGGGAAGGAAAAGGAAGAGGATGTAGAGCAAGATGAGGAGGCCGCTTTCATGAGCTGGGCAGGCAAAGCGAAGGATGAGGTGGAACACGAGGAGCAGCCAGCATACATGGCATGGAGAGGAAGGGAGGAGATGGGGCTACGCAGCGGAGGAAAGGATGCACGGAAGGACCAGGTAAGGAAGGAGCGAGAGAGAGGACAGAAACCGGAGGAGAAGGAAGAGAGGTGTACAGCGGCACGGCATCCACAGGAGCGGCTGGCGTGCCAGACTTCAGTGCTGCTGATACAAGGAGGTGCGCTGTCAGTGGAAGGGGAGAAGGCGAAGACGGCTATTATAGACACGGGCGCGCAGAGCGTGATACTAGGGAGGGGAATGGCAGAAAAACTGGGACTGTGGGCGCCGGACAGACATGTAGTGAAGGGAATGCTGGTGATGACAGCAGAGGGAGGAGAGTCAAAGTGGATGCCATGCACAAGGACTCCAATAGAACTGACGGTGCTCAAAGGAGAGAAGCACGAAACACCGGTGAGGATCAGGTGTGGGATCTCAGAATCTGAAGATTTCGACGTTTTGGTGGGCACGGAGATGATCTTTGCACTGGGCATGACCATCTGCTTTTGGAAGGAGACGGTAGAATTCAGAACCAGGTGGTGGAAGAAGGGTGAGCCACTGGGACAGCTGCCGGTGCAGTTCGTCAAGACAGAGCCAAAGCGGGCTTACAGGGCGGATCTGAAGGAGGGGGCAGCGAAGCAGGGGGCACAGGAGACCGCGAGGAACAAGGAACAGGGTGGACAGCCGAGGATGCACTTCATGGACGAGCCCAGCCAACAATCCGATTGGCAGCAACCTATCCGCCTGGTGGAACTCTTCGGGGGCATAGGGGCGGGTTTGGCAGCGGTGGTACGGAACGGGATAGCAGTGAAGCAGTGGATTTACGTAGAGAAGGCGGCAGAAGCAAGGAAAATGGCGGAGCATCATGCATGGCAGCTGCACAGCGAGTTCCCGGAGCTGTTGAAGGAAGAGGTGATCAGGGCAGCAATGAGCAGAGGAGTCAACGACGTCAGGGCCATCACAGAAGCTGAGGTGGCAAGCTGGGGGCACGTGGACCTGTTAGTGGCTGGGTGGGAGTGCCAAGGGGTATCATGGGCTGGGAAAGGCAAGGGTGAGCAAGACCTGCGAACACAGCTGATGGAGGACTTGTTCAGAGTGATGGAATGGCTGCAGGCTCAACAAGGCAGGGTGGCGTACCTGCTGGAGCATTTAGACATGGAAGGAGATGTGCGTGAGCCCATACGGCTGGTAAGGGAGCGAGTGACCAGACAGGTGGGAAAAGGGGTAAGCTGCGACGCAACACGGATGGGAGCCTACTCACACAGGCTCAGAATGTATTGGCAAAACGTGGTGCCAGCAGAAGACCTGCAGAGGGAGATAGAGGGGGTGAGAAGAGCAGGGGGGCGGAAGCTGAGCGATATACTCGAGCCTGGGCGAACACCAGCACCAGTAAGCAAGAGGAGCTACAGCCGACATTACCCTTGCAACACAGTGGGGCAAGAGAGGCAAGCACTGCCGACGCTCGTGTCATATGAAGGGGCAGCAGGGTACCAGATGGAGGGGAAGCAGCCAGGCCCAGGACTAGTGCTCGATCATAGGAAGGGAAGATGGGAAGAGCCCACGGCCCTGGAGAGGGAGCTGGCTATGGGGTACAAGGAGAACATCACAGCAGCCCCGGGCGTGACAGAGCAGGAAAGGAGGCGGGCGATGGGGAATGCAATGGATGGATACGTGATGAGGTGGTTGGTGCAGCGGATGTGGAGAGAAACGGTGCTGCACTGGGGACTGAAGGAGGGAGAAAATACAGAGGCAACGGTGAGACAAGGGGTGTGGACCTGCCTGCCAACAGCAGAGCCTGAGTGGAAGATAGGAGAGAGCATGAGCGAGGGAGGGAAGACAGCGATGCTGGCACTACTGGTCAAGCACAGGAAAGGCTTCGCTTTCACCCTGCAGGAGTTGGGGAAGTGCAAGATCAAGGAGATGGCATTGAAGCTGAACAGTGAAGAGCCGGTGTTCCATCGCAGAAGAAAGATGCCACCAGGGGATGAGGCGATCTGCAAGGAGAAAGTACAGGAGTTGCTGGAAGCAGGACTGATCAGAAGGTCAGAGTCAGAGTACGCAACCCCGACCGTGGTGGCAGCCAGGAAGGATTTGACAGGCGAGGTGCTGAGCCGCAGAATGTGCGGTGATTACAGAGATCTTAACAAGATCACCGTGCCGGATAGGTACCCCATGCCAATGGCGGAAGAACTCTTCGACAAGCTGGCCGACGGAGTATACTTCACGACGCTGGACCTGCGCCAGGGATTCAATCAGATAAAAATCAGAGAGGAAGATGTGAAGAAGACAGCCTTCCACGGACCGGACGGGCTGTATGAGTGGTTATACATGCCCTTCGGCCTGCGGAATGCCTCGGCAGTGTTTCAGAGAGTTATGGATGCGGTGCTGCGGGGGATTGAACATGCAGCATGCTACATTGATGATGTGGTCATCTTCAGCCAGACAGAGCAGCAGCACCTTGAGGACGTGGAGCGGACCCTGAGTGCAATAGAGGAGGCAGGGCTCACCTGTCATCCCAACAAGTGCAGGTGGGGGGAGCGGACAGTGCAGTACCTGGGGTATGAAGTGACAGGAGGACAGATCGGGATTCAGCAAGCAAAGGTGCAGGTGCTGGACAGGCTGAGGGAACCCAGGGACAAGACAGGGCTGCGCGCAGTCTTGGGCTTCCTCAGCTACTACAGGCGCTTCGTGCCTAACTTCAGTAAGCGGGCGGCAGTGCTGAACGGGATGCTGCGAGAGGACAAGGTATGGGAGTGGGGAGAACAGCAGAGGGAAGCACTGCAAGACCTCATGACAGCCGTGAAGACAGCAACCGTGCTGCGGCTGCCAGCAGCAGACCAGCCCTTCGTCCTCTACACCGATTGGAGCAGCCAGGGGATGGGGGCAATCCTGTGCCAGGAAGTGGAGGGAGTGGAAAAAGTGGTAGCCTACGCCAGCAGGAGCTGCAACCCCGCAGAGGCGCAGTATAGCTCATACATAGGGGAGGGGCTGGCGGCCGTGTGGGCGGTGGGGCATTTCAGGGTGTACCTGCAGGGCCGCGAGTTCACACTGGTCACTGACCATCAGCCCCTCACTTGGCTGATGACCACACCAGGGCTGACGGGAAGAAACGCAAGGTGGGCAGTGAAGCTGCAAGAATATGATTTCCAGATCAGGCATAGGCCGGGGAAGACGCTGCAGCACGTCGACGGTCTCTCTCGCAACCCACCACCGCTGGAATCAGGACAGAGAACACAGGGGACGGAAGGGACGGAGCTGGAGCCAGCACACACCTTGATCATGCTGGCGAGAGAAGCGGAAGAGGTCGGAGCCAAGGGGAGCAAGGGACCAGCCGACATCTGGCAGGACGAGAAGGCAATGCGGTGGGTGAAAGGAGAAACAGAGGAAGACGAGACAGTGTCAGAAAGAGTGCGGGCACGGGGGCACCACTACAGGTGGTATCAGCGGCAGCTGCAGATCAAGACAGAGGACGGGTGGAAGCTAGTGCCTGCACCCACGGACCGTGAAGCAGTGATCAAGGAGGTGCACACGAAGCTGGGACACTTCGGGCACGAGAGGACTGTACACCTGCTGAAGACAGGCTGGTGGTGGGAAGGGATGCGCAAGCAAGTGAAAGAGTGGGTGAAGGGGTGTGAGGCGTGTCAGAGGAGCAAGGCAAACTTAACGCAGGCCAAAGCAGAACTGCATTCACTGCCGATTTGCGGGTTGGGATTCCGATGGTCCTTGGACCTCGCGGGAGAGCTGCCGCTCAGCAGGAGCGGAAATCGGTACATCGTGTTCATGGTGGAGCATGCGAGCAAGTGGTTGGAGGTGAAAGCCATCCCCAGCAAGAGCGCGAGGCACATAGCAGCAGCCTTCAAGGCGCAGGTGGTGTGTCGCTTTGGAGCGTGCGGGGAGGTACTCACGGATCAGGGGACGGAGTTTCTGGGGGAATTTGAGAAGCTGCTGAAGGAATCCGGCATAGCGCACAGAAAAACCTCCCGCTACCACCCACAAAGCGACGGGCTGACCGAGCGAGCGGTGCAGACCTTCAAGCGGGGGCTGCGGGCCTATGGGGAGCAGAGGAAGAGGGACTGGGATGAGGAGCTGGATTGGATAGCCGCAGGGTACAGGTTCGGGAAGCAGGCAGCACTCAAGGACCACTCCCCGTACAGCCTCCATTACGGAAGAGAGCCAATCCTGCCAGTGGAGGCACCACGGGTACTGACAGACACGGTGACAGCAGGCACGATCAAGAACTGGGTGGCCCTGTCCGAGGTGAGAGCGCGCTACATGCGCTACATGCTGCCAGCGGCACTGGAGAACCTGCACACTGCACAGCTGAGGGACGCAAGGAGGTACGAACAGAGGCAGCGCAAGGGAGAGGGGCGAGTGGCAAGAGGCGTCTGTGAAGGGCAGGAGGTGTACCTCAAGAGGGCAAAGCAAGACACCCTGGATGTGGGGCTGGGTACGGTCCGCTGGAAGGTCAAGGAGGTGCGCCCTTCAGGGGTGCTGGTCCTGGAGAATGACACGGGGGCGCAAGTGAAGGAGCATCAAACGAACACTGCCGTGATCAGAGGCAGCGGGCCTCAGCGCAACGGTCCTGTGACCCGCGCTCAAGCTGCGCGAGCACGGGCACAGGAGGGGGCAGAGAGTGGCTGAGGCAGCAGAAGGAACGAAGGAGAGGCAGAGCAGGAGAATCAAGGCAGAGAAGAGCATAGCGGTAACTCCGACAGCTGTCACCGAATATGTACGTTTGTGCATATAAGGTGCCAGTATGATTGTGGTGTAGAAAGGGTGTAGTAATGTGTTGTATTTGTTGTATGCAGGCTCAAGGATGGGTAGGTGGGAGGCTGGGAAATTGACGCGAAGTTGGTAGGAGAACACCAGGGGGTGAAATCCTCGCGACCAATGGGAACAAACCCAACCCAGGCTCAAGCCGCACATTGAGAAATGCACGGCTCGAGCCAGGGACAGGTAAGTTCACTCTCACACACACACACAATGCTTTCTGTTTGTTATCCTTTCGTATAGTGGACAGTTGTTACCTCAGATTTGCCTACAGGTGACACACCACTCAGAGAGGACCTTTGAGGTGAGAGTTACCACTCTTGCAATGAGAGTGGCTGAGGCAGCAGAAGGAACGAAGGAGAGGCAGAGCAGGAGAATCAAGGCAGAGAAGAGCATAGCGGTAACTCCGACACCATCCTCTCTTCCCCTTGCCTCTCCTGTGCTCTCCATCCTCTCTTCCCCTTGCCTCTCCTGTGCTCTCCATCCTCTCTTCCCCTTGCTTCTCCTGTGCTCTCCATCCTCTTTTCCCCTTGCCTCTCCTGTGCTCTCCATCCTCTCTTCCCCTTGCCTCTCCTGTGCTCTCCATCCTCTTTTCCCCTTGCCTCTCCTGTGCTCTCCATCCTCTTTTCCCCTTGCCTCTCCTGTGCTCTCCATCCTCTCTTCCCCTTGCCTCTCCTGTGCTCTCCATCCTCTCTTCCCCTTGCCTCTCCTTTGCTCTCCATCCTCTCTTCCCCTTGCCTCTCCTGTGCTCTCCATCCTCTCTTCCCCTTGCCTCTCCTGTGCTCTCCATCCTCTCTTCCCCTTGCCTCTCCTGTGCTCTCCATCCTCTCTTCCCCTTGCCTCTCCTGTGCTCTCCATCCTCTTTTCCCCTTGCCTCTCCTGTGCTCTCCATCCTCTCTTCCCCTTGCCTCTCCTGTGCTCTCCATCCTCTTTTCCCCTTGCCTCTCCTGTGCTCTCCATCCTCTTTTCCCCTTGCCTCTCCTGTGCTCTCCATCCTCTCTTCCCCTTGCCTCTCCTGTGCTCTCCATCCTCTCTTCCCCTTGCCTCTCCTGTGCTCTCCATCCTCTCTTCCCCTTGCCTCTCCTTTGCTCTCCATCCTCTCTTCCCCTTGCCTCTCCTGTGCTCTCCATCCTCTCTTCCCCTTGCCTCTCCTGTGCTCTCCATCCTCTCTTCCCCTTGCCTCTCCTGTGCTCTCCATCCTCTCTTCCCCTTGCCTCTCCTGTGCTCTCCATCCTCTTTTCCCCTTGCCTCTCCTGTGCTCTCCATCCTCTCTTCCCCTTGCCTCTCCTGTGCTCTCCATCCTCTCTTCCCCTTGCCTCTCCTGTGCTCTCCATCCTCTCTTCCCCTTGCCTCTCCTGTGCTCTCCATCCTCTTTTCCCCTTGCCTCTCCTGTGCTCTCCATCCTCTCTTCCCCTTGCCTCTCCTGTGCTCTCCATCCTCTTTTCCCCTTGCCTCTCCTGTGCTCTCCATCCTCTCTTCCCCTTGCCTCTCCTGTGCTCTCCATCCTCTCTTCCTCTTGCCTCTCCTGTGCTCTCCATCCTCTTTTCCCCTTGCCTCTCCTGTGCTCTCCATCCTCTTTTCCCCTTGCCTCTCCTGTGCTCTCCATCCTCTCTTCCCCTTGCCTCTCCTGTGCTCTCCATCCTCTCTTCCCCTTGCCTCTCCTGTGCTCTCCATCCTCTCTTCCCCTTGCCTCTCCTGTGCTCTCCATCCTCTTTTCCCCTTGCCTCTCCTGTGCTCTCCATCCTCTTTTCCCCTTGCCTCTCCTGTGCTCTCCATCCTCTCTTCCCCTTGCCTCTCCTGTGCTCTCCATCCTCTCTTCCCCTTGCCTCTCCTGTGCTCTCCATCCTCTCTTCCCCTTGCCTCTCCTGTGCTCTCCATCCTCTTTTCCCCTTGCCTCTCCTGTGCTCTCCATCCTCTCTTCCCCTTGCCTCTCCTGTGCTCTCCATCCTCTTTTCCCCTTGCCTCTCCTGTGCTCTCCATCCTCTCTTCCCCTTGCCTCTCCTGTGCTCTCCATCCTCTCTTCCCCTTGCCTCTCCTGTGCTCTCCATCCTCTTTTCCCCTTGCCTCTCCTGTGCTCTCCATCCTCTCTTCCCCTTGCCTCTCCTGTGCTCTCCATCCTCTTTTCCCCTTGCCTCTCCTGTGTTCTCCATCCTCTCTTCCCCTTGCCTCTCCTGTGCTCTCCATCCTCTCTTCCCCTTGCCTCTCCTGTGCTCTCCATCCTCTCTTCCCCTTGCCTCTCCTGTGCTCTCCATCCTCTTTTCCCCTTGCCTCTCCTGTGCTCTCCATCCTCTCTTCCCCTTGCCTCTCCTGTGCTCTCCATCCTCTCTTCCCCTTGCCTCTCCTTTGCTCTCCATCCTCTCTTCCCCTTGCCTCTCCTGTGCTCTCCATCCTCTCTTCCCCTTGCCTCTCCTGTGCTCTCCATCCTCTCTTCCCCTTGCCTCTCCTGTGCTCTCCATCCTCTCTTCCCCTTGCCTCTCCTGTGCTCTCCATCCTCTTTTCCCCTTGCCTCTCCTGTGCTCTCCATCCTCTCTTCCCCTTGCCTCTCCTGTGCTCTCCATCCTCTCTTCCCCTTGCCTCTCCTGTGCTCTCCATCCTCTCTTCCCCTTGCCTCTCCTGTGCTCTCCATCCTCTCTTCCCCTTGCTTCTCCTGTGCTCTCCATCCTCTTTTCCCCTTGCCTCTCCTGTGCTCTCCATCCTCTCTTCCCCTTGCCTCTCCTGTGCTCTCCATCCTCTTTTCCCCTTGCCTCTCCTGTGCTCTCCATCCTCTTTTCCCCTTGCCTCTCCTGTGCTCTCCATCCTCTCTTCCCCTTGCCTCTCCTGTGCTCTCCATCCTCTTTTCCCCTTGCCTCTCCTGTGCTCTCCATCCTCTCTTCCCCTTGCCTCTCCTGTGCTCTCCATCCTCTCTTCCCCTTGCCTCTCCTGTGCTCTCCATCCTCTCTTCCCCTTGCCTCTCCTGTGCTCTCCATCCTCTCTTCCCCTTGCTTCTCCTGTGCTCTCCATCCTCTTTTCCCCTTGCCTCTCCTGTGCTCTCCATCCTCTCTTCCCCTTGCCTCTCCTGTGCTCTCCATCCTCTTTTCCCCTTGCCTCTCCTGTGCTCTCCATCCTCTTTTCCCCTTGCCTCTCCTGTGCTCTCCATCCTCTCTTCCCCTTGCCTCTCCTGTGCTCTCCATCCTCTTTTCCCCTTGCCTCTCCTGTGCTCTCCATCCTCTCTTCCCCTTGCCTCTCCTGTGCTCTCCATCCTCTCTTCCCCTTGCCTCTCCTGTGCTCTCCATCCTCTCTTCCCCTTGCCTCTCCTGTGCTCTCCATCCTCTTTTCCCCTTGCCTCTCCTGTGCTCTCCATCCTCTCTTCCCCTTGCCTCTCCTGTGCTCTCCATCCTCTCTTCCCCTTGCCTCTCCTTTGCTCTCCATCCTCTCTTCCCCTTGCCTCTCCTGTGCTCTCCATCCTCTCTTCCCCTTGCCTCTCCTGTGCTCTCCATCCTCTCTTCCCCTTGCCTCTCCTGTGCTCTCCATCCTCTCTTCCCCTTGCCTCTCCTGTGCTCTCCATCCTCTTTTCCCCTTGCCTCTCCTGTGCTCTCCATCCTCTCTTCCCCTTGCCTCTCCTGTGCTCTCCATCCTCTCTTCCCCTTGCCTCTCCTGTGCTCTCCATCCTCTCTTCCCCTTGCCTCTCCTGTGCTCTCCATCCTCTCTTCCCCTTGCTTCTCCTGTGCTCTCCATCCTCTTTTCCCCTTGCCTCTCCTGTGCTCTCCATCCTCTCTTCCCCTTGCCTCTCCTGTGCTCTCCATCCTCTTTTCCCCTTGCCTCTCCTGTGCTCTCCATCCTCTTTTCCCCTTGCCTCTCCTGTGCTCTCCATCCTCTCTTCCCCTTGCCTCTCCTGTGCTCTCCATCCTCTTTTCCCCTTGCCTCTCCTGTGCTCTCCATCCTCTCTTCCCCTTGCCTCTCCTGTGCTCTCCATCCTCTCTTCCCCTTGCCTCTCCTGTGCTCTCCATCCTCTCTTCCCCTTGCCTCTCCTGTGCTCTCCATCCTCTCTTCCCCTTGCTTCTCCTGTGCTCTCCATCCTCTTTTCCCCTTGCCTCTCCTGTGCTCTCCATCCTCTCTTCCCCTTGCCTCTCCTGTGCTCTCCATCCTCTTTTCCCCTTGCCTCTCCTGTGCTCTCCATCCTCTTTTCCCCTTGCCTCTCCTGTGCTCTCCATCCTCTCTTCCCCTTGCCTCTCCTGTGCTCTCCATCCTCTTTTCCCCTTGCCTCTCCTGTGCTCTCCATCCTCTCTTCCCCTTGCCTCTCCTGTGCTCTCCATCCTCTCTTCCCCTTGCCTCTCCTGTGCTCTCCATCCTCTCTTCCCCTTGCCTCTCCTGTGCTCTCCATCCTCTCTTCCCCTTGCCTCTCCTGTGCTCTCCATCCTCTCTTCCCCTTGCCTCTCCTGTGCTCTCCATCCTCTCTTCCCCTTGCCTCTCCTGTGCTCTCCATCCTCTTTTCCCCTTGCCTCTCCTGTGCTCTCCATCCTCTCTTCCCCTTGCCTCTCCTGTGCTCTCCATCCTCTCTTCCCCTTGCCTCTCCTGTGCTCTCCATCCTCTCTTCCCCTTGCCTCTCCTGTGCTCTCCATCCTCTTTTCCCCTTGCCTCTCCTGTGCTCTCCATCCTCTCTTCCCCTTGCCTCTACTGTGCTCTCCATCCTCTTTTCCCCTTGCCTCTCCTGTGCTCTCCATCCTCTTTTCCCCTTGCCTCTCCTGTGCTCTCCATCCTCTCTTCCCCTTGCCTCTCCTGTGCTCTCCATCCTCTTTTCCCCTTGCCTCTCCTGTGCTCTCCATCCTCTCTTCCCCTTGCCTCTCCTGTGCTCTCCATCCTCTCTTCCCCTTGCCTCTCCTGTGCTCTCCATCCTCTCTTCCCCTTGCCTCTCCTGTGCTCTCCATCCTCTTTTCCCCTTGCCTCTCCTGTGCTCTCCATCCTCTCTTCCCCTTGCCTCTCCTGTGCTCTCCATCCTCTCTTCCCCTTGCCTCTCCTTTGCTCTCCATCCTCTCTTCCCCTTGCCTCTCCTGTGCTCTCCATCCTCTCTTCCCCTTGCCTCTCCTGTGCTCTCCATCCTCTCTTCCCCTTGCCTCTCCTGTGCTCTCCATCCTCTCTTCCCCTTGCCTCTCCTGTGCTCTCCATCCTCTTTTCCCCTTGCCTCTCCTGTGCTCTCCATCCTCTCTTCCCCTTGCCTCTCCTGTGCTCTCCATCCTCTCTTCCCCTTGCCTCTCCTGTGCTCTCCATCCTCTCTTCCCCTTGCCTCTCCTGTGCTCTCCATCCTCTCTTCCCCTTGCTTCTCCTGTGCTCTCCATCCTCTTTTCCCCTTGCCTCTCCTGTGCTCTCCATCCTCTCTTCCCCTTGCCTCTCCTGTGCTCTCCATCCTCTTTTCCCCTTGCCTCTCCTGTGCTCTCCATCCTCTTTTCCCCTTGCCTCTCCTGTGCTCTCCATCCTCTCTTCCCCTTGCCTCTCCTGTGCTCTCCATCCTCTTTTCCCCTTGCCTCTCCTGTGCTCTCCATCCTCTCTTCCCCTTGCCTCTCCTGTGCTCTCCATCCTCTCTTCCCCTTGCCTCTCCTGTGCTCTCCATCCTCTCTTCCCCTTGCCTCTCCTGTGCTCTCCATCCTCTCTTCCCCTTGCTTCTCCTGTGCTCTCCATCCTCTTTTCCCCTTGCCTCTCCTGTGCTCTCCATCCTCTCTTCCCCTTGCCTCTCCTGTGCTCTCCATCCTCTTTTCCCCTTGCCTCTCCTGTGCTCTCCATCCTCTTTTCCCCTTGCCTCTCCTGTGCTCTCCATCCTCTCTTCCCCTTGCCTCTCCTGTGCTCTCCATCCTCTTTTCCCCTTGCCTCTCCTGTGCTCTCCATCCTCTCTTCCCCTTGCCTCTCCTGTGCTCTCCATCCTCTCTTCCCCTTGCCTCTCCTGTGCTCTCCATCCTCTCTTCCCCTTGCCTCTCCTGTGCTCTCCATCCTCTCTTCCCCTTGCCTCTCCTGTGCTCTCCATCCTCTCTTCCCCTTGCCTCTCCTGTGCTCTCCATCCTCTCTTCCCCTTGCCTCTCCTGTGCTCTCCATCCTCTTTTCCCCTTGCCTCTCCTGTGCTCTCCATCCTCTCTTCCCCTTGCCTCTCCTGTGCTCTCGATTCTCTCTTCCCCTTGCCTCTCCTGTGCTCTCCATCCTCTCTTCCCCTTGCCTCTCCTGTGCTCTCCATCCTCTTTTCCCCTTGCCTCTCCTGTGCTCTCCATCCTCTTTTCCCCTTGCCTCTCCTGTGCTCTCCATCCTCTCTTCCCCTTGCCTCTCCTGTGCTCTCCATCCTCTCTTCCCCTTGCCTCTCCTTTGCTCTCCATCCTCTCTTCCCCTTGCCTCTCCTGTGCTCTCCATCCTCTCTTCCCCTTGCCTCTCCTGTGCTCTCCATCCTCTCTTCCCCTTGCCTCTCCTGTGCTCTCCATCCTCTCTTCCCCTTGCCTCTCCTGTGCTCTCCATCCTCTTTTCCCCTTGCCTCTCCTGTGCTCTCCATCCTCTCTTCCCCTTGCCTCTCCTGTGCTCTCCATCCTCTCTTCCCCTTGCCTCTCCTGTGCTCTCCATCCTCTCTTCCCCTTGCCTCTCCTGTGCTCTCCATCCTCTTTTCCCCTTGCCTCTCCTGTGCTCTCCATCCTCTCTTCCCCTTGCCTCTCCTGTGCTCTCCATCCTCTTTTCCCCTTGCCTCTCCTGTGCTCTCCATCCTCTCTTCCCCTTGCCTCTCCTGTGCTCTCCATCCTCTCTTCCCCTTGCCTCTCCTGTGCTCTCCATCCTCTCTTCCCCTTGCCTCTCCTGTGCTCTCCATCCTCTTTTCCCCTTGCCTCTCCTGTGCTCTCCATCCTCTCTTCCCCTTGCCTCTCCTGTGCTCTCCATCCTCTCTTCCCCTTGCCTCTCCTGTGCTCTCCATCCTCTCTTCCCCTTGCCTCTCCTGTGCTCTCCATCCTCTTTTCCCCTTGCCTCTCCTGTGCTCTCCATCCTCTCTTCCCCTTGCCTCTCCTGTGCTCTCCATCCTCTTTTCCCCTTGCCTCTCCTGTGCTCTCCATCCTCTCTTCCCCTTGCCTCTCCTGTGCTCTCCATCCTCTCTTCCCCTTGCCTCTCCTGTGCTCTCCATCCTCTCTTCCCCTTGCCTCTCCTGTGCTCTCCATCCTCTCTTCCCCTTGCCTCTCCTGTGCTCTCCATCCTCTTTTCCCCTTGCCTCTCCAGGCGTTCACCATGGACGCGGTGCCACCAGCGCCATCCGAGGTGGTGCGGGGCGGCATCGCGCGCAACTTCCTCGCGCGCAGCCTCATGGAGGCGCGCTGCATTGAGGACGCCCTGCAGGCTGGACGAATATGATTGTAACTGCTGTGACTGTAGAGTGTGATTAACGAGTGAGTGGGACTGCGACAAGTGGGGATTATTCAGGTCAAAATTCTTGGGCGTGTGAGAGTGGAGATGCTTAAATGAGAGGGAAGAAATCACGTAGCCCTTTGGACCCTGTGATTTGGTTTGAGAATTGGATCATCTGCTCTCCAATGAGCCTCTCCATCTCCATCTCCCACGCATCTCTCCCATGCATCTCTCCCATGCCTCTCTCCCACACCCCTCGAGTTGGATCTTGAGTCGAATCAACTTCACCTCTCTCCCACACCCCTCGAGTTGGATCTTGAGTCGAATCAACTTCCCTCTCACCCCTCCCTCTCACCCCTCCCTCTCACCCCTCCCTCTCACCCCTCCCTCTCACCCCTCCCTCTCACCCCTCCCTCTCACCCCTCCCTCTCACCCCTCCCTCTCACCCCTCCCTCTCACCCCTCCCTCTCACCCTCCCTCTCACCCCTCCCTCTCACCCCTCCCTCTCACCCCTCCCTCTCACCCCTCCCTCTCACCCCTCCCTCTCACCCCTCCCTCTCACCCCTCCCTCTCACCCCTCCTCCCTCTCACCCCTCCCTCTCACCCCTCCCTCTCACCCCTCCCTCTCACCCCTCCCTCTCACCCCTCCCTCTCACCCCTCCCTCTCACCCCTCCCTCTCACCCCTCCCTCTCACCCCTCCCTCTCACCCCTCCCTCTCACCCCTCCCTCTCACCCCTCCCTCTCACCCCTCCCTCTCACCCCTCCCTCTCACCCCTCCCTCTCACCCCTCCCTCTCACCCCTCCCTCTCACCCCTCCCTCTCACCCCTCCCTCTCACCCTTCCCTCTCACCCCTCCCTCTCACCCCTCCCGTCTCTCGCCTCTGCCTGCCGTGGCTCACCTGACTGCCGCCTCCAGATTCTCTCCAACTCCGATGACGGTGACTTCCCCATCTTCAATGCCGGCAAGGTGTACGACGCGGGAGGTGAGGGGTGCACTGCTGGGGTGGAGTAGCAAGAGGTGCAGGTAGGGCAGTGTGGGTGGTCGGTCAGTGTGAGACGATGAGTATTTGGGAGGTGAGGGATTTAGTGTGGGGAAGTATGAGGAGGGATGTTTTATTGATGTGGGCGACAAGGGTGGCAGATGATGAGGAGGAGGTGAGGGATGGAGTGCGCAGGTGCATGAGGAGGTCTGTTGACTGCCGATAGGCCCTGTGATCCACTCTCTCCACCGCGCACAACTCGATCCTGCGTGCCGCTGCTCATCTCCCTCCGTCCCTGCAAGCACCACTCATACCTCGCCCCTCCTCCTTCCCCTTTCCGCCCTGCATCGCTTCTGCCACCACCAGGCCCGGTGATCCACACGCTGCACAGTGCGCTCTTCAACCTCGATGCGCGCACGCTCACGGTGCTGGGGGGCCGGCCCGCTCATGGCAACGTGCTGCATGAGTTCGATGTGTGACAGGCACACCTGAGAGGCACACCTGAGAGGCACACCTGAGAGGCACACCTGAAGGACACCGCTTCATAGCCTGAAATGTTAATCAATAGTCTCTTACTTCCCTTGTTGTAGGGCCATCCAGCAGGAGCCATTTGAGTGTATTGGTGCGTTTTTGAAGTGGTAACTAGGGTGGAGGAGCAACGTTGAACAAAGAATATGGTCCCCACTTGTACCATGATTTGGTTCCATTACTGCATTCTTTCATACCAGGACGTTTAATGTAGCCTCCCCCCCGTATTAGCTGTTCGAGGGTGTTGAGGGGGTCATACCGGTATATCCGGGGGATTATGGGTAAAGGTTTCATTTGTCCCTGAAAGGAAAGCAACAGCATGCTATAGAGACCTGACAAAGAAAGTTCACCCTAGTGCTGTTGATCTTGTAACTGGTGCATTGGATTTATTTGGATGTCAGTGCTCCGAAGTGGAGCAAGGGTGCATGATCTTGAATATTTCTTTCTCAGACCAACGCCACCAGCAATGGCTTGCTGGCCTTTCAAACATACCGTAGCCCAAGCACAAGAGAAGCAGTGGTGGACCGGTGGTTGCTGATGACAATGCACGGACAGCACAATATTGCCGTGCAGTGCTGCACTGCAGCGCAGAGCACAGAGACTGCACTGTATTGCAGGCAAATGCAGTAGCCACAAGGACACGTGCGTTGCCTGCTGTACTTGCTGCTGCTGTCCCCACTCCTCTTCTCCACTCTACTTTCTGCCTCTGCCTTCCACTTGCTCTCCCGCTCTCACTGCCTCTGCGCTCCACATATGCGGCCCACACCAGTTGCACACAGCACCAGGCACCATCGACTCTGCTTCCATCCAATAGGAACGAAAGTGAGAGGGAGGAATCTGTACAATAGGAGTTGCTGCCTGGAGGGTGGGGAGGGGAAGTGAGAGAGGGAGAGAGGGGGGTGGGGAGGAGGGGAGATGGGTGAGAAGAGAGAGTGTGTTCGGCGGTCATGAAAGAGAGGGATCTCCCCGCCTCTCTCCTCTGCATGAAAGAGAGGGATCTCCCTGCCTCTCTCCTCTGCATGAAAGAGAGGGATCTCCCCGCCTCTCTCCTCTGCATGAAAGAGAGGGATCTCCCCGCCTCTCTCCTCTGCATGAAAGAGAGGGATCTCCCCGCCTCTCTCCTCTGCATGAAAGAGAGGGATCTCCCCGCCTCTCTCCTCTGCATGAAAGAGAGGGATCTCCCTGCCTCTCTCCTCTGCATGAAAGAGAGGGATCTCCCCGCCTCTCTCCTCTGCATCGAAGAGAGGGATCTCCCTGCCTCTCTCCTCTGCATGAAAGAGAGGGATCTCCCCGCCTCTCTCCTCTGCATGAAAGAGAGGGATCTCCCCGCCTCTCTCCTCTGCATCAAAGAGAGGGATCTCCCTGCCTCTCTCCTCAGCATGAAAGAGAGGGATCTCCCCGCCTCTCTCCTCTGCATGAAAGAGAGGGATCTCCCTGCCTCTCTCCTCTGCATGAAAGAGAGGGATCTCCCTGCCTCTCTCCTCTGCATGAAAGAGAGGGATCTCCCTGCCTCTCTCCTCTGCATGAAAGAGAGGGATCTCCCTGCCTCTCTCCTCTACCACCCACCACTCGCTGCTGCCCTCAATGCGCGTCACTTCCCCCCTCCCTCCCTCCCCTCTCTCCCCTCTATCCCTCCCATCCCACTCGTCACCCCCGTCCGCCTCTGCACCAACTGAACCCACATCACCCCCACTCCCTTGCACATCCTCAACCATGAGGAACATCCCAGGGTCGGCTTTACCTGCTTGCCCTGCCAAGCAACGGCACCGAATGCGCGGCGGAACCAACTCTGCTCGCTGCCACACTGCACCAAACAATGGGCGCCACACTGCCATACCGTGGTCTCTGCCCTTCCCTGCTTCCCCGCAGGCACCTATCAACCCTCGTTTGGCCCCAGACCCGCCTTCCCCACGCACCACCCAACCTCCCCATGCACCACCCAACCTCCCCATGCACCACCCAACCTCCCCACGCACCAGGCAGCATCAGTGTGCGTGAAGGCGCTGCTTATCGCGTTGCCTGAGCTGCGTGGAGCTGATCTTGGCGTCCATGCACGCATGCCCGCCGCCCTCGTCCACCAGATGCACCACTATCACCTGATGCCATGCCGTGGGGCACACACGGGTGCCGTGGGGCAAGACACATGAAGAGCAAGGCTGAGGGAACCGTGGAAGAAATGTCGTGCCATGACTCGCATGAGCACTCATGCACATTCAACCCCATGAGTACTGCCATCACTCGCACCCCCCACCATCACTCGCACCCCCCACCATCACTCGCACCCCCCACCATCACTCACATCCACTGCCTTGACTCACATCCACTGCCTTGACTCACATCCAGTGCCTTGAGCCCATTAGCTGCGCGCCTCTCATTCACTGCATGGGCTCCCTTCTCCGTCTCAACACTGCGGCACGGGATTGAGCAAGGGAAACAAGTCACAGGAACAAGACATGTGTTTTTGTTCACAGTGACTGGACTGCAACGGCCACGGCCCTGAAAGACCTTCTACATATGGGCATCCACATATCACCTGAAAAGCGAGAGAGAGGTGGCGAATGGGTGGAGATGGGAGCAGAGCAGAGCACCTGACAGCGATGGCGTCCATGTGAGGGTCGGTGATGGCCGGGCCGAAGGGGTCGTCTATCGCCACTGCCTCCACCCCCACGCCTGGCTTCTCCCCCTGCCCGTTTGCTCTCGCCGCACCGCCCATGGCCACGCCATGCAGCATGGTGCATGCATTCATGGGGGGGTGGAGCATGAGGCGGTGGGTGGGATGTCCATCAGTGAGAGATGGGATCATGGGGCGCAGCAAGGGAGGAGGGATTGGGAGGAGGGATTGGGAGGAAGGGGGACGGGGGGGTGAGTGCGGACAAGTAGAACTGAAATGATTGACATCCGAGAGAGTGGTTGAAAGGGCTGTGCACAGAAGAAGCGACATGTGTGAGAGGAGGCAGGCAAGTGGAGGCGTGGAGTAGAGCGCAGCGGTACAAGCAAGCGCACCTGGATGAACTGGGTGACGGCCTGTTGCCGCTGCTCGAATGGTTGAATCAGCTCGCACAGCTGGTGCCCGCACACCCACCACGCCCAACACAGCATGCAGGGAGCAGTCAGAGTTACAGGGGGAAAGCATGTGACTGCTTCGAGAAAGGGATGAAGGTGGTTGGTAGCGCTCACGTGCTGCAAAGCCGTAAGGCGCAAAGCGGTAAGGCGCAAAGCGGTAAGGCGCAAAGCGGTAAGGCGCAAAGCGGTAAGGCGCAAAGCGGAGCGGCGCAGGGCGGAGGTGGAGGTGCGCGCACCTCTTTGGACTGCAGCATGCGCCCCACCGTGATCCCCACCACCACTCGCTCCCGCGCTGCTGCCGCTGCTGTCTGCAACCAGGGCGGCAAGGAGGCCAGTTGAGACGAGCATCACGTGCGGCAAGTAAGGCGGCAGAGACGGCGCCAAGTGTGAGTCCGCGGACTCGCACAACGGGTTACCCGCTATCTCTACGGCCTCTGCTTAATCCGATTTGCCCGGCCGATGAGAATACAGTGCAGGCAGGCAGGGGTGGCAACGGACATGCGGGGTTGTGGGAGGTGGAATGCTGTGACTCGCAATGCCCAGCCCGCGCAATGCCCATCCGCGCCATGCCCAGCCCGCGCAATGCCCATCCGCGCCACGCTTTCACCCACCCGCAGCAGCAGGCGGTGGCCGTCGTGCAGGCGGTCGAACGTGCCCCCCACCACCACGCACGCGTACGCTCCGCTCAGCTTCCGCCCGCCCGCCTCCTCGCGCAGCACGTGAATCACGCGCGCGGGAGGCCAACCCTCCACATGCTCCCCCACCCCCGCGATCATCAGAAAATGTGAAATTCCCGACTCGGGAGTGTCGCTGGGTGTGGGCGCTCCGGAAGTAGCCCTTGGAATTCCGGCTGCGGCCGAGCCTGGCTTTTAAGCGCCCGTGATCCAGTCAGCACTTGAAATCAGGGCTACCAACTGGGGCACTCGTTTAGAAACTGCATACATTAACCTAAGGGAGATGCTAAGGGCGACGTCAGGTTGTACAACAACTTGTACGCCCACTGCGGTTACCTTCGTTTCAACACGGTGAAGAGCGGTAAACGCCAAGAACCGCTTTTCACCGTGTTAGACCGTTCACGTTACAAGAACTGTTAACACATGAGAAATGTGTAACCTGACGTCGCCCTAAGTAGACCTAATTAGCTAGCAAGGCGCACGTCACTAAGGCCCGGTTCGGCAGCCAGAGGGAAGAAAAATGTTAGGAAGATGACGAGAAGGTGAGGCGTGCGTCAACCCAGGGTCAACGAATTTTGACCCTGGTTTGACCGCACCGCGGACAACCTGCGCCATGGGGGAGCCGGCGCAGGTTGGAGGGGGGAGATACGAAAAAACGCCGCAGGTCGAGGCACATTTGCCTCACATTCGAATGTCCCAGAGCACTGTAGCAAAGCGAAAATTCTCTCCCAAAAAAAAATCGCATGCACATTTGCCCTCGAGTAGGGTTCTTCTGTGCAGTAACCCTTTATTTCGTAGGGTGCAATGTTGTCCCGTGAACAGTGATTGCTGTGGAATCAAAAGGTTGATTCTTATGTTTTCAAAGAATCACTTTCTTCTTCCGTCTCACTAGGGCGGAAGCTTTCCGCCAGGGGGGGAAGAATAAGGACAGAAGACGACGCGGAATCAATTTTTGATGGTGTTCACGTCGCTGCTGTAAAAATCTGCACCTCGATTTCCGAAAAATCTACCATACAACCCGCACCGTAGATCCCTCAATAATGCGTCTGGAAGCTTCATAGAAGAAGCTGGAAATTTTTCTTCCGTCTTTCTTCCGTGGCTGCCGAACTGGGCCTAATTCACCAAGTTTGGTGCTGTGTCGTGAATTGTGAATTGCGCGTCATGCTGGAGCGGTTGGGTTGGGAGGATGGGCGGGGCAGTGAGGGAAAGGGAGTCCGTTCGGTTCGGCACGGTAGGAGGGAGACTGGGGGGTGCAGTGTTGGGGTCCGTGCGGGATTAATTTGGCAATTGCACCTCGAACCGCTCTTCGTCGTTCGAAAAGTTCCATCAGCACACCAGGCCGACTTGTCTGATTCCGATAGAGCCAGGTTCGTTTCGGTATTGCGTGGTACAATACTGGAAGGGGCAATACAGAACTTGAAACCGCTTCTTTCGCATCCTCTCCAAGTCCTCCCTCACCAGCTCGCTTTGTTCCAGATGTCAACGCGACGCGAGCAATAGGCCCGTGACCATGGCATATGCCACAGCTTCCTCACTGGAACTTATCAATAGCTAGCGACGAGGATTCTCCTAGTAAGGCATCGGCTTACGGCAGTGTCTGCGTCAACGCCAAGCTTTAGGTTTCGCTGTGTGCCGATCCGGTGGGACGTGGAGTGAGTGGCGGGGCGAGCGCATGGCGGGAAGGCCGTTGGCGGCAGCAGAGGCGACGATTGTTGGAGCGACGGGCGGAGCGGTGGACTGACAGCTGCCCCGCGCTACTGCTTGTCAGAATGTTATGTTTGTCTAGCCTGTAGTGGGACCCTCAATAGTGAGTACAGCCCAATTTAGGGTTTGCTATATGTACTAAACTGCTTGCTAGTGAAACCCCTCACTTCAATCATTCCTCATTATTCACATGGTATAGAGCTGGTTCCCTCCTGGGACTGTTCCTTCCTTGGGCCCACCACTGATTTTTTTTTTTCTGACCGAAGCGCAAGTCGCCCCGGCCCGAGGCACGCCCCGTGGGCCGCCCTCTCGTCGCGTCCCCTACCCTTAGCGGCCCGTCGCGCCCTTCTAGAGGCCCCTCTCACGGCCCCTCGCGCCACCCCTAGTAGCCCCGTCGCCGCCCTTAGCGGCCCCGTCGCCACCCTTCGCGGCCCCGTCGCCGCCCCTAGCGGCCCCGTCGCTGCCCCTAGCAGCCCCGTCGCCGCCCGTAGCGGCCCCGTCGCCGCCCTTCGCGGCCCTGTTGCCGCCCTTCGAGGCCCCTCGCGGCCTCTTCGCGGCCCCGTCGCCGCCCCTAGCGGCCCCGTCGCCGCCCTTCGCGGCCCCGTCGCCGCCCCTATCGGCCCCGTCGCCTCCTCCAGTGGCCCCGTCGCCGCCCCTAGCGCCCCGTCGCCGCCCCTATCGGCCCCGTCGACGCCTCCAGCGGCCCCGTCGCCGCCCCTTGCGGCCCCGTCGCCGCCCCTTTCGGCCCTGCCTCGACCCTGCCCCGGCCCCGCCCCGGCCATGCTCCGTCGCCTGTCGCGGCGCACCGGGGACCCGTGCACCGCCCCCCCCTCTTTTCCCGTCACCCGTCGCGGCTCCCTAGGGGGCTGCGCGCGGCCCCCTCAGGTCGCCTCGACAGGCAACGAGAGGGGCGACCTGGGAGGGGGGGGCGAGCGTCGCCCCATCTGCCGCCTGTTTTGGCGCCCTGGGAGGCCGCGCGTCGCCCCCCCCCCCACCCCCCCGTAACCTCCCTACCCGCCGTCCCGCCCTGCCCTGTGTTAGGGTCTGGGGGTGGCGAGTAGGGGGTGGCGGGTGTGTGGTCTCCCCTGCTCCTTCTCCTCTGTCTCCCACTGCTGCAGCTGCCGCTGAGGGGGTTGGGTGTGTGGGAGTCGACGGAGTGGTGCTAGGGGGTGGGGTGTGAGTGAACCTAGGGTGCAGCATGGGGTGTGTGAAAAGGGGGTGGGATAGTTTGGGGAGGTTGAAGGGGGGTGGCCGCCGTGAAGCCCGCAGCTCCAGTCGCCCGTGAGACCGTTGCGCCAGTCGCCCGTGAGCCCGTTGCGCCAGTCGCCCGTGAGCCAATTGCTCCAGTCGCCTGTGAGTCCGTTGCTCCTGCCGCTCAGAGTTAGCCGCGGAGCGAGTTACTCCAGTAGCCCGTGTGCTAGTTGCTCCAGTTGACAGTGTGCCAGTTGCTCCAATTGCCCGTGTGCCAGTTGCTCCAGTTGCGTCGTGTGCCAGCAGCTTCAGCTGCCGCCCACTTCCTCCTCTCCTCTCATAGTCCCTCCTCCTCCACACTTGCCCTCGGTGATATCCTCTAGCTTTGCTTACATTTGTGAACTTTAAACTGTTGCTTCTTGTACTTGTGCTCAGATTGTGTGGTGACATTGTGATCCATCCTGAGCTTGTGTTTTGCTTGCTTGTTGTGCTGATTACATCCCACTTTGGCTATGGGGGTGTGTCAGAATGTTATGTTTGTCTAGCCTGCAGTGGGGTACTCAATAGTGAGTACAGCCCAATTTAGGGTTTGCTATATATACTCAACTGCTTGCTAGTGAAACCCCTCACTTCATTCGTTCCTCATTCTTCACACTGCTCGCTTCGGGGCGCTCGCCACGCCCTCTGCACCAGCCTGTGAGCCATTCATCGGTTGACACGTGGAGTGGTGGAGCGATCATGGTGTGATTGACGATGCCTCTCGCTTCCACCACTCCACAGCGTGTTCAAGGTACAGCCTCGTCCAGCCCACCACTCGTTGTGTTGTGGGCCTTCCACATCACGCCTGCTCACCCCCACGCAGCTCCGCTCACGCCATCTTGCGGTCTCTCCCGTCATCCAGCCGTCTCCGCCACGGACGTCTTCTCCACCACTCGGCTTTTCCACCGCCGCACGTGCCGCGCTGCCAGTGAGGTGGGCGATGAGGCCATCGCACGTGGCGTGGGCGATGCTCAAGTCTCCTCGACCTCAGACCGCACCTCGCGCTGCCCCACCTCGTACTCGCCCGTCGCTCTCCCGGTGCGTTGCACCACGCGCGCATTATCTCGCATCGTTCCCACCGGGCATCTGCAAAGGTTTTCTCTTCATAGCTACCCCCATCGTGTGTCCTTGAAGGAATATCACTGAGAGCGTAGCGATAGCGAGAGAGTTTCTGCTATGGAAACGGTGTTGCGCTAGCAACTCGGTAGAATTTCGGTAGCGTTAGTGTTTAATGTCTTAGTGAGAATTCAAGTAGCGTTTGGGCCAAGTAGAATTGTAATATGATCCATGCATACAAAAGTAAACACACAACTATATATAGGCAGACGAGGTTTCACAAAAGGTTGCGTGGTGCTTCGGTGTGACCCAACCCCACGAAAGTGGTTTGTGGGTGAGCGAACGCGCCTCGCCAAATTCCCAACCCAACTTAGTAGGAAGTCAATGCCGAGCACGCCGATTCTCCTAGCACAGCTAGAAATGGCGAGACTCACCACGAACTACTCACAACTTCCATAGACTAGCACACACTTCCCAAGACGCATAGCCACGACTTCCTTAAGCTAGCACCACCCCAGCAGTGACTTCATTAACGCCGTCATAGTCGCACGATGTCAGCACTCAACCATCTTGAAGTCATAGGGTCGGTGCAGGGCAGCGTATTGTCGAGGGCCCTTGCTGTCGTAGGGCCCTCTAACACTCCC